GTCTCTGGGGTTGCGGCGCTCATCTCACTTTATTGGCCAAGGGAGCCGGCATACAGCTTCCGGGTCATGTGGCCAGCATGACTAAGCCTCTTCCGACGAACCAGAGCAGCACACGGAAACGCCGTTTACCTTCTCGCCAGAGCAGTACCTATTTATCTACTTGCACTTTGACGTGCTTTCGAACTGCTAGGTTGGCAGGAGCAGAGGCCAAGCAACGGGAGCTCACCCCATTGTGGGGATTCGAACCGCGACTGCGACCTTCTGATCGGCAAGCCCTAGGCTCTGTGGTTTAACCCACAGCACCACCCGCATCCCCTGATACGTGATTAGGACTGTCTTTTTTAAAAAAGAAATTAGTCGGCATCTGGTTGGGAGCAGGGAATTGGATTGCAGTACAAAACTGACGATGGGTGGACTATATTGTCTTACCGTTTTTGTAAACCGCTTTGAGGGCATTGGGGTTTTTTTTTTACAGTCAAGCGGTATGTAAATGTTAAGAACTAAATAAAGATGAGAGGGGAAGTTAGGAATGTCCTGGGCAGCAATTGCTGAGTCACTGCCTCCTGAAATTATGTTGTTGGTGGTAGTGGGATCTTAGCTGTGTTTTTTCCCCACTGGTATTGGGTGACTCAGGGCTCTTCTTCATTCTTGCCAAGCTGAAATCCAAACCACGGCAAACAAGTTGACCTCAGTTTTGGCAAAGCAGGCTTAACTGGATTCAAAAAAAGCACCGGGTAGGACACAGTGAGGGATGGGCGAAACACAGTGATTTGTTGTCGTTTAGTCGTGTCCGACTCTTCGTGACCCCATGGACCAGAGCACGCCAGGCACTCCTGTCTTCCACTGCCTCCCGCAGTTTGGTCAGACTCATGCTGGTAGCTTCGAGAACACTGTCCCACCATCTTGTCCTCTGTCGTGCCCTTCTCCTTGTGCCCTCCATCTTTCCCAACATCAGAGTCTTTTCTCTTCTCCTGAGGTGGCCAAAGTCTTGGAGCCTCAGCTTCAGGATCTGTCCTTCCAGTGAGCACTCAGGGCTGATCTCCTTCAGAATGGAGAGGTTTGATCTTCTTGCAGTCCATGAGACTCTCAAGAGTCTCCTCCAGCACCATAATTCAAAAGCATCAATTCTTCGGCGATCAGCCTTCTTTATGGTCCAGCTCTCACTTCCATACATCACTACTGGGAAAACCATAGCTTTAACTATACAGACCTTTGTTGGCAAGGTGATGTCTCTCCACAGTGATTACAGTTGGGTATACTGAGGTGGGGGGATGACGACAAATTTGCTCGCCAATCTGTGAGGAACTATTTGTGGCCGACCTATGGACGTCAATGAAACCCTGCTGGAATAAGTGGCTATGAGGGACATGGCCTCAGAAGCTTTCGTGGTTTTGAATTCAAGATCCAGGCATGCTTCAACAGTCATGAACTATTGCTTGCTTCATTTTAGCAAATCACCTGGGTGCTCTCAGCGCTTAACTCACACCCCATCCCTCTGCTGTCTCCTCTGTTATCAGCATTCAGATTGTAAATGCCTTGAGTGCAGGGTGGGTGGGTGGGTGGGTGCACGCACACACGCAAAGTGCCACTCACTTTGTGACAGGTTTCAGGGAATCCGATCCCTCCCACGGTGGGCAGCCAAGGAACAAGAAGCGTTCTTACCAAGTCCTTTATTCAATATTCACAGAGGGAGGCTTTGAAAAGTGCCTCTACATTGCAGCCATGGTGTTGCTCCAAGTAATCTCCTCCCCACCTTTTACTCTCAGTCGTCAGCAGCTCAGCCCCTTATAAGGTGGTCTGCGTAAGGCCCTTTGTCTGTTCCCTCTCTGCTGTCCCATTTTCACAGCCCTCCTGGTTGTAGGATAGAGTTACCAGATGTCCCCATTTCCCTGCCCAAGAAAGATGTTAGATTGTTTTTGTATGCCACAACTGCAGCTAGAATTTTGTTAGCTAAGAATTGGAAAACTGAAGAAGTGCCAACAGTGGAGGAATGGCAGATGAAGATGATGGACTTTCCGGAGCTAGCTGACCTGACCGGAAGAGTCTGCAACCAGAAGGAGGAGGAGTACCAGGAGGAATGGATTAAATTCAAAGATTATTTAGTTAACTGTGCTAAGATAATTTAAATAGAAATACTTGCAAACACCAGATAGGCTTAGGATTTAAATATGTGATGTTATAGAATAACATGTTTAGATTTAAAATGAAAGGAAGGAAAGATGTTAAGTGATTAAGTTAATTTTATGAGAAATTTGTTTTGGAAAACTGTTACAATGATATACACTGAAACTCAGCCAGGGGGAATCGAGGAAATCATTTAACAATGTTACTAAGATTGGATTAAGTACAGTTAAGATTTATGTTTGTTTGTTTGTTTGTTTGTTTATAAATTTTGGAAAATCAATTTAAAAAATTGGGGGGGGGGGAGAGATGTCCCCATTTCCTGGGGAGAGTCCCCAGATTTGCGAATAAGTCCCTGGACAAATTCCATCCCCGGAATGTCCCCGGATTTCATCTAATGTCCCTGGGAAACGCAGCGGCGGCAGTCTCAGCAGCCCAGAGCAGTTGGCTCTGGCTGGCTTCAGGAGCTGCTGGGAAGATGGTGGTGCAGGGGCTCTCAGATGCAACTTCCGGGCTGCCTCCCTCTTCCCTGACCCCAGCAACTAAGCTGGGAAGGGAGGCTTCACACTGCCTATCATAGAATCATAGAGTTGGAAGAGACCACAAGGGCCATCGAGTCCAACCAGAGCTTGCATGCAAGCAGGAGTAGGAATGGGACTGGGGCAGCTCCAATGGGAAGGGAGGCATCGCGCTGCCCGAGCCTCGCCGCCACTCTCAGCTCTCCTTCTCTGCCTTCCATGCCTGACCCACTGCGCACCGCTTCCCCCACCACCACCACTGAAGAACCAACAACTCAGGGGCTGCCCAGGCTCATGGAGAAAGGAGATAGAAGCCTCGGAGGAAGGGGAAACGTGGCGGTTGAAGTCAAGGCAGCGGCCGCTCCTCTGCCACCGCCATCGCTGCAGCATCAACGTCTCGAACGTGATTTATTTATTTATTTATTTATTTAAAGTGTCCCCGGATTCATTGGGAAAAAAATCTGGTAACCTTATTCTAAGAGAAGGGGGTTTGGGAATGCTTTCTAATGATAACGTGTCAGCAAGCTGTTCTGGCTCTGCTGCTTCACCCTCCCCCCCCCCCTTCTGTTATCTCCCAGCTCTGTCTTTCTTCTGTCTCAGATCATGACCTCCTGCAAACCACCGTTGTAAATCTATACTGTCCTCCTCTTATCAGGAAGGTTCAGGAGGAGGGAGGGCAATCTCTGAGCACAATTCAATAGTGTTGGTGCTGACCTTTAAAGCCCTAAATGGCCTCGGCCCGGTATACCTGAAGGAGCGTCTCCACCCCCATCGTTCTACCCGGACACTGAGGTCCAGCTCCGAGGGCCTTCTGGCGGTTCCCTCACTGCGAAAAGCCAAGTTACAGGGCCTTCTCGGTAGTGGCACCTGCCCTGTGGAACGCCCTCCCACCAGATGTAAAAGAGAACAACGACTACCAGACTTTTTGAAGACATCTGAAGGCAGCTCTGTTTAGGGAAGCTTTTAATGTTTGATGCATTACGGTATTTTAATATTTTGTTGGAAGTGGCCCATAGTGGCTGGGGAAGCCCAGCCAGATGGGCAGGGAATAAATAAATAAATTATTATTATTATTATTATTATTATTCCCCTTCAGTCCAGTCCCTGGCACTTTGAGACGTTCTGTATCCTAATTCTCCCTCTCTTTCCCATCCTGTCCATCGGCTGCATCTCCTCTCCAAAGAGTCTCATCATCAGAGACGGATTTAGGGGAGCGCAGTCAGGTCGGCCACACTGGGCGCGAAGCCTCAGAGGCGCCACAACAATGATCACGGAATCGCAGCCTTGTAGAGTTGAAAGGGACCCCTGAGGGTCCTCTAATCTGAGTCCCTGTGATGCAATATAAATAATTTATTATTTATACCCCGCCCATCTGGCTGGGTTTCCCCAGCCACTCTGGGCGGCTTCCAACAAAATATTAAAAACACAATACAGCATTAAACATTAAAAGCTTCCCTAAACAGGGCTGCCTGCCTTCAGATAGTTGTTTATTTCCTTGACATTGGCTGGGAGGGCATTCCACAGGGCAGGCGCCACTACTGAGAAGGTCCTCTGCCTGGTTCCCTGTAACCTCACTTCTCGCAGCGAGGGAACCGCCAGAAGGGCTTCTGCGCTGGACCTCAGTGTCTGGGCTGAACGATGAGGGTGGAGATGCTCCAGATATACTGGACCAAGGCCATTTAGGGCTTTAAAGGTCAGCACCAACACTTTGAATTGTGCTCGGAAACGTATTGGAAGGCAATGAAGATCTTTCAGGACTGGTGTTATATGGTCTTGGTGGCTGCTCCCAGTCACCAGTCTAGCTGCCCCATTCTGGATTAACTGCAGTTTCTGAGTCACCTTCAAAGGTAGCCCCACATAGAACGCATTGCGGTACTCCAAGCGGGAGATAACCAGAGCATGCACCACTCTGGCGAGACGGTCTGTGGGCAGGGAGGGTCTCAGCCTGTGTACCAGATGGAGCTGACAGACAGCTGCCCTGGACACAGAATTGACCTGCACCTCCATGGACAGCTGTGAGTCCAAAATGACTTCCAGGCTGCGCACCTTCAGGGGCACAGTGACCCCATTCAGGATCAGGGAGTCCTCTACACCAGCCTGCCCCCTGTCCCCTAAGAACAGTACTTCTGTCTTGTCAGGATTCAAACTTGATCTGTTAGCCACCATCCATCCTCCAACCGCCTCCAGGCACTCACACAGGACCTTCACCGCCTTTACTGGTTCTGATCTGAAAGAGAAGTAGAGCTGTGTGTCGTCCTCATATTGATGGACACCCAGCCCAAACCCCCCGATGATCTCTTCCAGTGGCTGCATGTAGATGTTGAAAAGCATGGGAGAGAGGACAGAAACCTGAGGCACCCCACCCCAACATGGGGCTCAAACCCATGACCCTGATATTCAGGGTCTCATGCTATACCAGCTGAGCTGATGCAGAATGGAACATAAGTGGCAGGGGGACCACCAGGCGTCGCTGCGGTCTGAGACCCCCAGGTCCACTGCTGCTGCCATCCAATCGATTAAGCTCAAAAAGCCTTTTGGAGCAATGAACTTGCCCTTTCATGACTTTACAAAAATCCTAGGCATATCTCACTAAATAAATAAAAATCCTAGGCATATTTCACTAAATAAATAAATGGCCATAGCCTGATGGTTGCACAGAAACAGCTCAGCCAGAAAACTGCCAGAAAACCAGTCAGCCAGCCAGAGATATCTTTTCTCTTGGGATCTGAAGGCCAATGCTGGAGACATTTTGTGGTGCTAGGAGTGAGGAATAAGTCTGAAAACCCCCTTCCTTCAGAACAGCTGAGGGAGGGGTGTGGTGCTGCTTTGTGCTTGTAGGTGCGTATGTTTTGCAGGTATACCGGCAGGAGAGTGGGTGGTTACACCCAACATTGGCATTCGGCCCCCAGAAGGTTGGCCAAGGGTGAATGTGGCCCTCAGGCCCAGAAAAGCCACCCCTGCTGTAGGTTGCCAGAGATAAAAAGAAAAGAAAAAGTAGGAGAATGCATCTTTTCGGTTTTTAGTATGATTTTAAAATGACTTGGGAATGAGCACATGCAGAAATTGCATTCAAAATACGTGATGAAAGTAAGTGCTGATGCCTTGGCTGTTTGTTCAGAAGACCAGGAAATGTCTTGGTTCAGATCTCACCCCTCCTATGAACCTGTCTGGTGACCTTAGCTCTCATCCTCCCTCTCTTAAATAACATGGGGCTAATACTCACCTCATCTTGCAAGGTAATTACAAAGATTGCAAGGCAACGTCAAGGAGGTGCTTTGTATGCTTTCTATAAATGCTTAGTGTCATCTATGACCAGGAAAACTGAACCAGAGTTTTTTCTGGTCATAGATGACACTAAGCATTTATAGAAAGCATTCCAGAGTAATGGTTAAAAGGTATGGAAACTGTGAGAAGAGAGTTGATTTAAAGCAGGGGTAGGCAACCTAAGGCCCGGGGGCCGGATCCAGCCCAATCGCCTTCTAAATCCAACCCGCGGACGGTCTGGGAATCAGCTTGTTTTTACACGAGTAGAATGTGTGCTTTTATTTAAATTGCATCTCTGGGTTATTTGTGGGGCAAAGGAATTCGTACATTATTATTTTTCAAAATCTAGTCCAGCTACCCACAAGGTCTGAGGCCCCCTGCTGAAAAAGTTTGCTGACCCATGCTCTTGGGGGTCTGGATCCGACCACTTGAGGCTTTTCTGCCCTAACAAATGAAGCCAGAGGTTGACTTGCAAAGAACAACTCACTTGAGTACATCCTCCCTCTGTGGCAATTTACGAAGGTTAAATGTACTTGGATTTCCATGGCTCTCGTTCTTGCATGTTTCTTTGGCTGTAATGTTATTTTTAAGTGTTTTCTTCTCTTGCCCCTTTGTTATTGATTAATTCCTCCTCCCACATAGCCCCCTCCCCGAAAACCTTGTATCAGCATGATATGAGTCCCAGCCCACCCACCCCCAAAATAAAAGCAGGCAATTCTTCATCTTGGCTTGGAACTGTCACATTTTTCAGTGGTCCTTGAAAACTGGTTGGGGAAGCAGAGCGGAAGCTTTTTTTATATACATCTGCCGGTACTGAATTATTAAAATCTTTATGAATACCAGCCGTGCATTTATCCGTCCACTTGCCCCGGGGCATTTTCTGTTCCTCTTGCATTCTGCAAGCAATTAATCGGTGTGATTTCTCTCGCCGCTTCCAAGAGATGGCTTTGCACAAGTCGAAAGGCAGGATGGGTTGAGAAGGACAGCAAAAGCCCCAACTGTGTGTGATGAGGCCAGCCATTCTATCCCAGCTCCTGCAAGAACATCCTCAAAAAGTCATTGCAAGGAGCCCTGTCCAGACCACGTTGCAAAGTCCAAGGAAAAGCTTCCATTCTGCAGCTCCGCAGGAGCCCAACTAGCAGCAGGAAGGTCATTGACACGCACCATCCCAATCTCCAAGCAATGAAATTGTCAGGCGCTGGTGGTGGTTGCTCGTGAGTAGCCAGGCAGGACTCCGACCTGTCTTTTACAGGTTTTATTGGTGCAAACTATTTACGGTGCAAAACCACAAAGTTCATGTACGTCTTAGTCACTTGCAAATTCCGGGAGTGGCCCCTTCCTGCTTCTCCCCCAACATAAGAACTTAGACACCCCAAATCTCCGCCTCCCCTCCTTACGTTTCACCCCTCTGATCAGGCTGGGTGACGGAACCGGCGTCTCTGCTTCCTGGCTAGCCGGGCTAGGTGAGGCGCTTGGGCTCTCAGTAGTATTTTTGAGCCCTCCTCTCACTTGGCTGCCCCCTTCCCCCCCCATCCACTGGAGGTGTGGCTTTCCCCACCACTGGATGAGGCGCTGCTCCTCAGAAGCGTCAGAAGTTCTCTGTATCCCTCTGCCTCCCTCCTCTGTTCTGATGGTAGTTCCCTGACAGAAATAATCCAGAGTACTTATTCAGGGTTCGTTTTGGAATGAAGGTCAGCAGAGACTGTGGTAGGTTTAGGATATAGTCTTTTATTTACAGAACCTAGACAGCATCTTAAAAAGCAGAGACATCACCTTGCCAACAAAGGTCCGTATAGTTAAAGCTATGGTTTTCCCAGTAGTGATGTATGGAAGTGAGAGCTGGATCATCGAGAAGGCTGATCGCCAAAGAATTGATGCTTTTGAATTATGGTGCTGGAGGAGACTCTTGAGAGTCCCATGGACTGCAAGAAGATCAAACCTCTCCGTTCTGAAGGAAATCAGCCCTGAGTGCTCACTGGAAGGACAGATCCTGAAGCTGAGGCTCCAAGACTTTGGCCACCTCAGGAGAAGAGAAGACTCCCTGGAAAAGACCCTGATGTTGGGAAAGATGGAGGGCACAAGGAGAAGGGGACAGCAGAGGACGAGATGGTGGGACAGTGTTCTCGAAGCTACCAGCATGAGTTTGACCAAACTGCGGGAGGCAGTGGAAGACAGGAGTGCCTGGCGTGCTCTGGTCCATGGAGTCACGAAGAATCGGACACGACTAAACGACTAAACAACAACATTAGTCACAGCTTTGAATCCAGCCAGGGCCATCTTTACCCAGAAGTGCAAGGGTTGTGGGGCACCCGGGCACCGAATTCTGGGGAGCACCTGTGCCATGCATAATTTTATATCATGTCGCCCTTTCCTCTAAACTAAAATCCCCAAATGCCAGAATCTTTCATCATGGCGAAATCACTGCATCCTCTTGATTGTTTTGGTTGCCAAAAGACATGCTCTGTTTTTGTCCAAGGTGTCCAAAGAGCTATAAGGCTGGGGAAGGCTGGTCTAGGCAACCAAATATCTACTGTTCCTGGAGTGGCCACCAGACCCATTGGGCAGGGAGAGCCATCAAGGGCTTCCTATTTGAGGCCGGTGCATTCCAAGCCCTGGTACATTCCTAGTGCTCTTTGGTCCCGATACCCAATGCAAAACATTTCTTTATAATATCTCTTCCCTGCCTCTCTCCGCAAATCGCCCTCAGTAATAAATACACAGTGATAAATTCAATTCCAAACAATAAAATTACAGTAAATCAGCAGACACAGAATGATAACATACAACAGTGAGCAGATAAAGGGCCATTAAAATACTTCTAAGGTCATTAAGAGCCCGAGATAACATGGTGGACTTTGCCTGGTACCTAAAAGATAACAGAGCTGGCACCTCCCAGGTGCGCATTCCTGGAAACAGTACATGTTATTAAGAAGGCACAGGAGATCTGTTTTCTGTTACCCCATGTCACTTGTTTCTGGAGACATTAGTTGTGGAACAACCATGCACACACTTCCAATCCAACGTGCAAGTGTAGACATGGAGGTAATAAACAGATGTTCTAGTTACAGCTAGGTAGCCATGTTGGTCTGCCGTAGTCGAAACAAAATAAAAAAATTCCTTCCAGTAGCACCTTAAAAGTAAAGGTAAAGGGACCCCTGACCATTAGGTGCAGTCGTGGCCGACTCTGGGGTTGTGCGCTCATCTCGCTTTATTGGCCGAGGGAGCCGGCATACAGCTTCCGGGTCATGTGGCCAGCATGACTAAACCACTTCTGGCGAACCAGAGCAACGCACGGAAACGCTGTTTACCTTCCCGCCGGAGCAGTACCTATTTATCTACTTGCACTTTGATGTGCTTTCGAACTGCTAGGTTGGCAGGAGCAGGGACCGAGCAACGGGAGCTCACCCCGTCACAGGGATTCGAACCGTCGACCTTCTGATCGGCAAGTCCTAGGCTCTGTGGTTTAACCCACAGTGCCACCCGTATCCCTAAGTAGCACCTTAGAGACCAACTAAGTTTGTTACTGGTATGAGTTATTGGTATCTGAAGAAGTGTGCATGCACACGAAAGCTCATACCAATAACAAACTTAGTTGGTTTCTAAGGTGCTACTGGAAGGAATTTTTTTAATTTTTTTGGTAATAAACACACAAGCTGTACGTAGGCATAGACTGTTGAGAAGATCTTGCCAGTGCCTGGAGATCAGTGAACTCAGGGTCCCTTCCCCACTCTCCACCCACTGGAATCAGGCATTGTGTTGTAGGCAGTTGAATGCTCCAAGCTTAGACCACATGGCTTCAGCAAGCCATCTTTGTGTTTCTATACAAATAATTTAGAAACATTAACCTTTTTGGAACCCAAGTTATACTGCCTTTCTCTTCTTGCTGCTGTGTAGAAAAGGACATGAATCTGACCGAAGAGATTGCAAGTAAACCAGTTTTAACTTACAAAACACGTGGCCTCTTTCTATGCTAAGGGAAGTGGGGAATTCTGGAAGCAATTTAGAAGGGGACGTTTTAAAAGGACTAACAGCCCATATTTCCATGCTCTGCTTCGCTGCATGTTTTGTGATTTTAAATCTCTGCTGGGGCTCAATCAACAAAGAGTACTTACCCCAAACCTGGATCTAGACTTCCAGGGAATTCTCATTTTATTATGCTATAG